CAAATAATATTTCAGAATTAAAAAAGGACTGATTTCAATATACATGATTTTAGACAAATGATAAATATAAAAATTTCAATTAGGGTAAGAAACATACCCTAATGTATGTATTACCAGACTCCTCAGACTGAAGGACACCAAACCCCTTTCTTGCCTAAAAACAAGTATAACACATTAGAAATTCAACATGATACACCATGAACATATCACTAAAACTTCATTCAAACAAAATTATATTACCAGAGCTCTTTCCCTTTGAGTCAAAGATGACTGTTGGCTTGACTGCATTCTTGTTCTTGACACTGATGCTGTCTTTTCAACTGTTCTCTGTGGTTGTTGTGGTCCAACAATCTTCTTAGGCCTTCCCCTTGGATTCTGACAAGAAATAATTGAGAGTTAAAATTATCTAATACAATGAATAAATACTAATTCATCTATAAACTCTAACCTTTGGCTGTTTTTCAACTGGAGGATTAGAACAGGATTTTTTGTTGTGCCCTTTTTTCAAACATCTCTGACAAGTCATAACCATCCCAAATCTCCTCAACTTAGTCCCAGAATTTATTTCTTCCTCAGCATCTCTTCTCCTTTTTTTCTTTGGCCTTCCTGGCATCCTTTTAAAGGGAGGGGGCAGAATAGGATATCCTTGTGCAACTGGCCACAACTTCTTTCCATTTATAGGCTGCAATGACAAACTGTACATTTCCAGATACCTTTGAACTGAGAAGTACTCAGACACAAAATCTACAGGATCCTTATGTTGGAAATGCATTGCAGAACATGCATGAACACAAGGAATGCCTGTAATATCCCAGTATCTGCAAGTACATGTGTTGTTCCTCAAGTTCACCACAAACTGATCATCCTGATGCACAACCTCAAATACATCACCTACAGCTGGCTTTGTGAGACAATGTCTAGACATATACTTGTTGTTCTCAAGCTTCTTTCTTATTCTAGGACAGATTATATCTGTATGCCCACTAAGCTCTAACAGCTTATCATGTTGCCTTTTCATTAACTGACTTCTAACAAACTCCAACATATCAATAATGTGCTTGGTTCTACCCTTCACAATAAGACCATTGAATGTCTCACTCACATTATTCTCAATCATATCACATCTTGGCAGTGGAGAAATATAAGCCTTACAAAATTTGGTAGGGTCTCTGGTAATGAAATCTTCACAAGCATCTGGATCTTCAAGCTTCAAATCCTCCAAATTGATGTTGTAGTCACCCAGGTTAGTGCTCAGAACAGTCTTCCAAAAAATACTTTTCAGTGTGTGTCCTTTGAAGCTCTTCTTCCAGTTCATATATACATGCCTTGCACAATTTCTGTGCTCAGCATGTGGGGCTAAATCCTTTAGTGCACTCAGAAGACCCTGTAAAAGTCATACATCATATGCACAAGTTAAATATAGAAATACTAAAAATTAGATATGTACAAGTTAAATACAGAAACAGAGACATGTTAGAGAGAAAAATACCTTTTGTTGGTCTGACATGAATGTATATCCAAGACCATCATTAATGCCCAAATCAGTGAACAAAATACTTAAAAACCACCTCCAACACTCCTCATTCTCTGTTTCAACAACTGCCCAAGCAACTGGGTATATTTGATTGTTGCCATCTTTTGATGTGGCACACAATAGAGCCCCTCCTAAGAAAGTCTTCAAGAAACACCCATCAAATCCCAAAATGGGTCTACAACCCCCAAGAAAACCCTTTCTCAGTGCACTGAACCCAATATAGAAAGCTCTGAATGTTGTTTCTTCACCAAGAAGAAACTCAAACCTTCCATCTCTATCCACCCTCAACAGCTCTGCCATGTAACTTCTCAGAGAAGCATAATGGCCTGCTACTGAACCTCTAAGCATCTCAAGAGCTCTCCATTTTCCTCTATATAACTTCCACTTTGTAGGTTGTACTGCATACTTCTCAGAAATCACTTCTTCAATTTGGGCTATGGTCATGTTTGGATTCTTCCTCAACTTTTCAAGTAATTCCTCAGCAATCCATTCTGATGTAACTTGTCTGGTGTGCACATTTCTATGGCATTTGTGCTCCTTGATCAATTGTTTGATTGCTACACTGCCCTCACTCATAACTGCACTAGCATACATGCTCCAAGGGCAACCATCAACACATCTCACCCTTAACTGTTTTTTGCTAGTTTTGGTAAACTGTATGTCCCTACCTTGGCAAATTGCTACATTCCTGACTGCTCTTTTCAATTCATCTATGCTTATGAATCTCATCCCCAGCACAAACTCAAGAGTGTTATGATCACACTTAGGGTCATAATTAACCCTTCTCTTTCTACCTATGTAGTTCCCCTCCTCATCCATTTCACACTCACTATCAGATAACAATGCAGAGTCTAAGTACCCAGAATCTTCACTGTCCATCTCAATGACCTTACCTGAAGAAATGTTATCTGCACACTCTTCATCTTCCAATCTCCTCTTTTTTTGGTTCTTCAAATTCTGCCTTGCCTCAATATATTCACCATCATCATCAGAGGCAAAGTCATCTACAGAAAGTTCATCATCAGATGAACTATCTCCCATGGGAGAATAATCTTCATCATCACTATCATCTCCAGTGCTTTGAACTTCACATTCACCCACATTTGAATTAGACAACTGTGAATTTTTCCCCACTTCTTCATCAGCATCACAATTTATTTGCCTCTCAACTCCTAAATCCACACCATTTTGTTCATCTGGCAAACTGAAGTCTTCTATATATGTATCTATATCAAAAGCATCCTCTGACATAGAAGCATTTTCTACACTTGCATTATTCTTTCCTTTCTGTGCTTCTCCTGCATTGTTCTTCTCTTTCTCTTTATGTGCCTCAACTCCTAACTCCTGTGCTTCTCCTGCATTGTTTTTCTCTTTCTCTTTATGTGCCTCAACTCCTAACTCATGTGCTTCTCCTGCATTGTTCTTATCTTTCTCTTTATGTGCCTCAACTCCTAACTCCACACCATTCTCTGCCTCTCCTGCTTTCTTTTTGGATGTTTGATTTTCCCCAACCACATAAACCTCTACTAATGATCTTTTCTGAGTACTGTCTCTAATCATCTCCATAACAACACTATCATCTACTACATCTTTAAAGATTTGTTTTCCAGTAACATCTGGAACTCTGTAGACAATTCTCTCAAACTTACCAACACCCAGCTTTTCAACTTCTTCTTTTAAGTCAAAAAAACCAAATCTATCCACATCTAAACCATGGACTCTCTTGAAACTGCCACCTAAGTAGTCAACCACATTTTCCAATTTGACGAAGTATCCTCCATAGTTGAAAAAAATTGAAAACTTGCCACTGCAAGGAAAAAAAATCCATAAAAGTCCATAAGAATTTGAAAATTTCTCACTGCAGAAGATATTATTCTTTGTAAATTCACATATTAATATCCCAGAAAAACCTCCTTTTTTAAAATAAACCTTAATTTTTCAAAAAATCTCTAATTTCCAGATAAAAACCCTAATTTCACTCACAATTTTAAAATCCCAGATAAATACCCATACAACTGCATAAGATACAATGCTTAGAAAATTGAAAAACTAATTTCCCAGAAAATCGTCATTTGTGCAAAAACCCTAATTTTTCGAAAAATCCCTAATTTCTCAAAAGAACCGTATTTTACCTCAGGAATTCTAAATCCATGGAAGATTATCAATCCTAAACGAACCCTATATAGATTTATTCTATAATTCACTCGTTTTATGAATAAAAATTCATTAAATCGGAAGTACCTGTCTTTCATTTCTCTGTCAATTGAAACTGTCGAACGCAGGAACTCAGACTCTCATGAAATTGAGACGACCACGCCGCGGAATCCTTGTGCACAAATAAGATTTCATACGTTTTCGTAGGTTCAATTTGTTTTTTTGGTGGGGAAAGTGTAGAGATATTTTCAGATTAGGGATTTGTGGATCGATCGATTTCTGAGATTAGGGATTTGTGGATTTTTGAGGTTAATGAACCGTTTTTATACCATGCCAAAAAGGACACGTTTTTTTCCACGTATTTACTGTTTTTCCACGCAGGTGGCAGAAAAATCCACGTAGATTTAAGTTGCCGGACATGCTGGCGGATTTTGAAGGTCCGACCGGTGTAAGGTTCGACTTGCAATAAGTAAAGTTAGGTCGAGATTATTTTGCAATTATCCAAAGGTTGGGATAAAAATGCAAAACGGAAAAAGGTTGAGGTTTAAATAGCAATTAACCC